GTGTGTGTGTGTGTGTGTGTGTAAAATCAAATTAATTTTAGATATATATCAATATTAAATTGTATCAAATATCATTAGTAAGCATACTGTTTACGCTTTACAGAGACTATTTTAAATTGACAAATAGTATTTAATAATTAATATTGTAGAACACAATAGTTTTAATTACATTGATTTCAAGTTTGATATCAAACTTAGACGGTATTCATTCTTGAAAATTTTTTAGATGTTTTCGAAAGCAAAATTTTAGCAATTTTCACAAATATTTTCATATATTTCCATAGGTATGTAAAATTTCTCTTTTTTAAAATGGGACAATGCATAAATATTAAATAATAAAGAGTAAAACATATATAACTTATGGATTTCGAAATGGATTTTCGATAGATATTATTTATTTCATATATAATTCAAACTTAAATATCTTTATATGAAAAATTATAAGGAAATATTCTATATTTCATAAACAGATCTTATCTGGTATATTATCATCGTACATTTGCCGAGAACACAGTGATATAACATTAGCAGAATAACATTTTTCATAAAACTTAAGTCTATTTCGAACATTAATGCCCTTTTGTTTCGGTATTATATCCAATGTTTCTCTATTGTCTGCGCCGAATTTTGAAAACGGATAATCAGAACATACAGATGATTTTTTTCAATTGATTAAATCGTCAAAAATCAATTGTTAAGTTTTTTCATATTCTAAATTTATTGCATTCACCTCACGTTCGCTCACGATTTTCGTGAAGAGAAGTGCTAAGAAAAACTGCGCAAAACGATTTAACAATAAGACATCTTCCAATTTCTTCGATATTATATCGAAGTAGTAAGTAGTGTATTCTGGATCTGTTCCAGCTATAGTCGCCGTCGTTTTGCGACAAATATGTAGCGTAATCATTCTCTTGAGAATATTTCTCCGTTCCCAAGAATAACATATGTTATTCGCAGAAGAGTATTAATCTTCCGGATCGCACATATAACCTGTAACACATTTCATTTCTAATTAATTGTTCATGAAAGCGATAATTTGATAATCATCGGTAAAAATATATAAAATTATTTATTAATATTGAATATCATCTATCTAAGGTAAAATATAATTAACAGAACATAGAAGACATAAAATCACCAAACATTGAAATTCATAGAAAACAAGAAAAATTTCAAAATTTTTTAATTCAAAATAAGATTAACATATTAAAGATATTTATTAACATAAGATTATATAGTAATAACAATAAAGAGCTCTGTGTGTATGTGAGTGTGTGTCGTGTGTGCGCGTGTGTGCTTAATGTAAATATACAGTATATTGTAAAAATTATTTTGCATAGATACATAGATAGATATACATAGAGACAAATGTTTGACAACATGTTTTAAAATGCAAAAATGTGAACAAAATATATAAAACTGTATTTGCGGATTATCATATAAATATCATATAGATTTGCATTTTTGCCACTACTTTAATACTACTCCTAGTGCATTGTTTATTTGTCAATTTAAAGATATCGCATTCGAATGTTATAATCTGCCATTGTACCGAAGAGAACTGGAATTTCAATACCTCTTTCCCTTAATATCTCTCCCTCTCTATTAACTTCAACTCCGATGCCACAAAAACTTGTGAAACGAAATTACGCGCCGATAAGTAACGACGGTTCACCAACAATGGCGAATCGAATCGCTGAGAAGCATAGGAAAGAAAAAGGGAGAGAGA